AAATGTAAATGAATGCTTGTAATCTATTCTTCAAATATTCTTTGAGATTGTAAGCCTATAATTTTTTATCATAAGTTTTAGTACTGTCAGAAAAATGTAAAATCGCCTTTGCCCTAAACAATACCTTTGGGTTATCTTTAGATATGATCATGATGTGAATGCTAGTTTCGGAACCAAACATGCTGAAATGGCTATTATTTTTTACTTTTTTATTTTGTCATGTTCTTTAGGCTTACATATCCAGTATTAGTCATACACCCTTGATAAGAAAAGCATGCTCAAACCTACCCTTATTGACAACACTTTTATCATGTAGCAATAACAAACAGTTACCATGTAACCAAATAACATTACTTTTATCATGTAGCAGTAACAAATAGTTACCATGTAACCAAGTAACATTACTTTTATCATGTAGCAATAACAGTTACAATGTAACCAAATAACATTTCTTTTATCATGTACTTTTAACAAATAGATACTATGCAACCAAATAACATTACTTTTATCATGTAGAACAGTAACAAATAGTTACCATGTAACCAAGTAACATTACTTTTATCATGTAGCAATAACAGTTACAATGTAACCAAATAACATTTCTTTTATCATAGTACTTTTAACAAATAGATACTATGTAACCAAATAACATTACTTTTATCATGTAGTAATAAAAAAAAAACAACAGATAAACAAACATTACTTTAAAACTTTGGTTGAAATAAAATAGTTATCAATGTGTGGTATGCTTTACTTTTATATAACACCATGTATAAATAGGTCGAGATTGTTATACAAATCTACACAATAACTTAGACTTTCAAATAAGAAATTATTTTATTTTATAGAATACATTCACCTGTCTCAGGTTTGGTTCCATGATAATCAGTTATTACTATATGACAGTTTTGTTTCCACCAGGGTAGGATTGATGCTATCAATGTTGATAAGGCTGTGGAGTTTATCTTGTCATGTATGAACTTTGATGGTGGGTTTGGATGTAAACCTGGATCTGAGACCCATGCTGGACAGGTAGGTTTATTAACTCTTTCTTCATTAATATTGACTTGTTTTGTAAACAGTGTTTTTGTTTTCCTTCAGAAAGCTAGTAAGGTAAAGGTAGAAATTAATAATGTAGAAATACAAATTACTTCATACTATTGCATTATTCTCAGGTTTACTGACTTAACTTTCAAGTAGTAACCACAAGTAACAGGAGGAACAGCCAGAACTTGTCTGAGGTGAAGAAAAGAAGCTGAACACAATGTAAAACAAAATGAAAACTAATCTTTATTCACTTAAAAGACAAGCATAAAGACACTGGACATCACTTCTTTCTTGTTACTGAGAGGTCTTACCAAGAGGAATTGTGAATGAAGACTGAAAGATTGTACATCATATACACAAAACAATAACATCATCTATCTCACAGCACAGGTGTACACACTTGTTGACTACACCAAGAGAAAGTAGGGAGAGATTAATCTCTAGACATTTCTAAGCCTAAATATGATCATGTTACCAGAGAAAGCAGATACAAGATCACAAAATAAATCTTTCCTAACATTATCCTTGAGAAACATCTTAAAATAACTAAGTGGACATGCATCTTGACCATTTGTGACTACCACATAAAATATGGTAGGTTTGCTGTACTTGAAAGTCATTAAAAGCTCCTATATCTGAAATGTTATTTGATCCTCTATTTCCATCAAGGATGTGTTCCTAACAAAAAAAGACTTTAGGTGAAACGATGTAAATAGAAATTTATTTTCCCATTGAAATAATAGTATAAATAGGGGATACATTCTTGTGAGATGTAATTTGCCCATAATAGAAAAAATATTAAACAAGTACCAAAACACATTGTCATAGTAATAACTAAGTAAATAAATATTGTACATAAAATATATAAAGCTGATTGCTTTCCATGCCTTCTTTGTATAAGCCACAGTTGGAATATTGTGTTAGTCTTAGGCTCCTTACCTTAGGAAGGACATTGAGTTGTTGGAAAGAGTTTAGAAAAGGGTTACTAGAATGATGCCTGGAATGGAGGGGTTGTCATACGACAAGAGGCTGAAATCTCTTAAATTGTTTTCTCTTGAAAAAAAAAGAAGAGTTAGGGGGGGATTTGATTGAGGTGTTTAAGATTGTAAAGGGAATTGATAGTGTTCATGTATCATTTTTTTTATATTTAACAATGAGAATAGTAGAACTAAGGGGACACAAATATACATTTTAGGAAGGTAGGAGTTATCTTCAACTTTTTTTTCTAACAGGATGATTGGCCTTTGGAATTGGTTGCCTTCAGGTGTTGTACAGGCAGTAAATTTAAGTGAGTTTAAGAAAAAGTTTTAAGTATATGAATGAAAAGGGCTTGGTTTAAATTTTTTTTTAAACATTTTAATTTAGTTTTGAGGATGAAACAGCCAAGTTTGACCAATAGATCCCATGTTGTCCCAAAGTATTATGTTATATTGAGTGCAAGTTTGGCTTCTTAACATTTAGGTTGGTAAACATAAGATTCATAAATTGAGATTTATATTACTTTTTTTTTTATTGTTGTCTCAGTTGCATTGAGTAATTGGGATTTGAATTACAAGTATTTCAGTTCAAATCCTTTGTATATTTTTCAAATCTTTTGTTTGCCCCAGAAATACAATATTTTAATATATATAAAATATATTATTCTCCAGGAAGTGAATCTTTTTATTTGAGAAAAGCTTGGATAGAACTCTTAAAATTAGAATTTGCAAAATGTTTTTAAATGTCTTCTCTAATTTGTAGATTTACTGCTGCTTAGGAACATTAGCCATCACAGGAAACCTACATTATGTAAATGCTGACCTGTTAGGATGGTGGTTGTGTGAGAGACAGCTGCCATCTGGTGGACTAAATGGTAATTATTAATTTATTAGTAATTGGTGGGACTTGTTCTGTTTGCTCTCTTGTTGCATTTTCACTTGGAAATATTATAGTGATGTAAATTGTGTAATCATTTTTTTATGTTGGTTTTAATAGAGGTTTCTGAAACTCTGAAGAAGGAATATTCAGGACTTGAAATTAGCAGAAGCTAGTTGGTAAAAAAAAAAAAAAAAACAAGTGACCACCATGGTGCACTGGCATTTTTTGCCAGTTGATAATCTAGGCATGATTATGAATATTCAGATCAAGCATACATTTGTAAAGAAATAATACTATGATAATTATTTGATAAGCCTTTTTAAAAATTTACATCAGCTGACTAGTTATGTGTTCTAAGGGCATGTGGCTCATGTGAATTTTCTCTTCACACTCCCCCCCCCCCAAGCTCCCAATGTAGTTTTTTTTATTGTTCTTTGTTATCACATTTTTTATCAATTATTTATGCACCAAATTGCTTGTGATTTGTTGATTACAGGACCCCTAATAGTATATGAGTTGTGAAAAGAAATTAAGTATTCTGTCAATAGTGCAATTAATCGCACTAATTTCTGCTGAGGTTTCATCTACTAATGTTGATCAGTTCTTTAACTGAGTAGTTTGACTGGCAAACATGAAATTACTCAATGTGGTGCATGTTATGAACAGTCTGTAAACAAGTTGGTAACTTGAGAGTTAATTAATTAGGCTTATTTGTATGTCCATTAAAGTGTTGTTTTTAGTAAAATAATCTAATACTTTATTTGAATGTTCAAATGCCCCATAGTATAGTAACTTTTATTAAATTGTGAACTACACACAAATATGCATACTTTTGGTAAGATTCCTGTCTCTTTATGCTCTGTAATGAGAATAAGTAATTTTAGCTTGGACCAGTAAATATAATGAACTAATCAATTTTCTATAATTAAAAGTACCCAGTAACCTTGCATTCAGTTTATTCTTGAAGAAAGAAGGTTTACTTTTTGAAAATCTTCAGGTTAGTTGGATTCTCTTGGTATGTTTTTCAAGTTTCCTGAATGAGATTTTTAGGCATTGTTTTCATGCTTGTTCATATCTTTTTTCTAAGCACTTAATGAGATTAAGTAGTGAGAGATTTTACTAAAAGATTCATCAAATATTAAAACCAAATATTTTCTTCCAGGACGTCCAGAAAAGTTACCTGATGTGTGTTATTCATGGTGGGTTTTGTCTTCATTAAAAATTCTGGGGAGACTACACTGGATAGACAAGGTGAGTTGAAATGTCAAACTAAGACAATAATAGCATATTAAAACATTTATATCTGTAGTTGGAAATGCTTATATCGTTTTAGATGTGAGCCACATATTTCGTGTTTAATAAATATGTCTTGCACAGTTTGTCTTGATTGAAACTAAACATTTTGTAGACAAGCTACACATTTTGGGTGTTTTGTAGATAAAACTAGAAATTATAAATATGAGTGGTATCCAAAAAGTTTATGGCCTCACCCATAAAATGAGATGTTAGTTCAACTATGATTTATTTTTCAACATAATCTCCTGAGTCTATACACTTGAGCTAGCAGTGCCCTAAGACCTTTATACCCTTCTGAAAGAACTCTTCTACTTGGTCTTCAGTTCATAACTGGATGATATGTACAAGTTCATTATCACTCTGAAATCTTTGACCTTTCAGAAAGATTTTAAAGTTAGGGAAGAGAAAAAAGCAACTTGAAGCTAAATCTGGTGAGTAAGGGAGGTGATTGTGTAATTTGAATCCTGCATCATGGATAGCATTCAAAGCAATATGTGATTTGTGAGCTTGGGGCATTTCCTTGATGGAAGAGCACACCTTTTTTGAGTAATCCTCTTTTCTCTTTTCTTTGATTTCTTGATGCGAGTTGTTGATTAAGGATACATAGTAATTTCCTGTAATGGTTTGACTCCTTTCCAAATAATCATTCAGTAAAAAAAATGCCTTTGGCATCCCCGAAAAAGTGATTCCGTGACCTTCCAAGCAGAGGACTGTGACTTTAACATCTTTGGGGTGGTGAACTTGGGTGTTTTCATTGCAAACTTTGCATTTTTGTGTCTGGATCTAAGTGGTGAACCTATGTTTCGTCCATATTTATGAATCTATTGAAACGCTTGTAGTAAGCATTGGCTTTCAACAACTTGGATCCATTTCTGCTTAGGTAACAATATATTTGGAATCCATCTGGCACTCAAAATGCTTGCTACAGTACTTTTACTGGTTCCCACTTTGTAAACCAAATCGTAAAGTTTATCTACAATTTCTGTTGTAGTCAATATCGACAGCCGACCTGACCCCAAATATTCTTCACATGATTGTCCATTGTGCTTAAATTCGGCACACCACTTTTGAATATACTGGAACACCCTTTCCTAATGATGTTGTTTCTATGTCCTGGTGGATTACTTGCGGTGTCAATTTCTTTTTAACAAAATATAACAGCATGAAGATTGATCTTTTCCAAAATGTTTAACACTGCTCACTTCTTTCTTTAAAAAATCTGAACACACTAAATAAGTTTGTTGAGTCATATGTTTACTCATAAAAAGGTTCCAGTTTTTTTTAGGTCATGTCACAAACTTTTCGGACAATCCTTGTATATTGTAAACTTAAACAACATTTCCTTCAGTTGAACTTCAGATAATTAAATTGGATCATAAATCAAAATGTTTCACTTCTTCAGCAAAGATTTAACAGTTGGTGAAAGGAGGATACTTTACTGAGGAAGTGAAATGTCTTGATTCATGGACATGTGTTACACATTTTAAATACTTTAAAGACAAGTGCTTACATGCACTAGGTATTTTCTAAACAAAAAAGTACAGAATTATAAGTATTTTCTGGACATATGCTACACATTTTAAGTGCTTTGTAGATATCTCCCACTTTATTACAAGTGAGAAGGGAAATAATTCCTCACTAAAGTAATTTTTCGGTTTTTTAAATGTAATTTTTGAGTATGTGGATTACACAGTAACTTTTAACAACCAAGAAAGAAAAAACAAAAACTCAACCTCAAATTATTGTTTATCCCAGCAATAGGTGACAGTGTATAGATCTGAACTAAAGCTTTTTTATTGTATTTCTAACCTAAACTGGCTTTATTACCAAAATAATGTGTTTCAAATTTTGCATTAAGTACAGAATACACTAAGAATTTTACAAACTTTGATTTGTGAATGATATATGATTGTTTAAATTGTTTTATGTTTACAGGAAAAACTTGTAAAATTTATCTTGGCTTGTCAAGATGAAGAAACAGGAGGTTTTGCTGACCGACCTGCTGACATGGTAGGAAAATTTTTTTGCTTTATGGTTGTTTCTTTACATATATTTAACATTTGCTTGTACATTTCAGGTTTTACCTTGTTTGTTTTAGAATGATTGGTTACCTTGTTGAATGAAGAATAAGATTAACATAGATCATGATAACAACTTTGTTTCACGTGTATACATTTGTTAACAATTTGAATACGTGTTGATAAACGTTAGTTTTTATTTTTGC